CTCCCTGGACTCTTCACATATTAACTTCATCAATATCTTCCCTAAAAACACTCTTGGTATTAGTTTCAACCATAGAAATCTTTTATTGCTTTTCTACACAAACAAAATTTTAAAAAATCCAATAATCACCACTTCTCTTCTAAATTCTCAACGAAAAAAAATACAACACATCCTGTTCTTGTTAATCAATATTAACACCTCAACTTTCCTCTCTCTCATGATTTTGGACAATTTTCCTCTTTCACTTAAACTCAGATGCACCATAAATGTATCACTTTAATTCATTTCTCCTCTACAAACCAATTTATTAGTAATAAGCCATTTAACTACTAAAATTATCTTTATATTACAAAAATATACCTCACATCAAATCCATTATATATCCTCCAATAATATTCTTTTATTACCAAATTTTCACAAAAACATTTCAAATCACTACTTCTCTATTTCAACTGGACAAATCTTCCAGTAATCCATTATCACTAATTTTTTCTACTTCTTAAAAGCATCTCATCATGTTAACGCTTTACTAATGCATTACTTCTCCTCTCGCAGGGAGGGACAAAAGCCTTCTCAGACAGGCACGGAGTTCATTGCTCATCAAATCAAGCAACTCTGCTATATATCCAAGACCCAGGAAATTTAGTTAAAGCCCTTCACTATCATAGTTGATTTTACTACAGTGCATCAAAGTTTGAATTCATCCAATAATCAATTAACAAGAAAGTCTATTATCTCATAAATTTACACAAAATCTCAAATCACTGTAATAGTTTTCAATTATATTTACTTTTTAAAAAAAATAAAAATAAATAAAATGATTCATAAATTCCAATGATATCTTAAACTTAACACTAAATTTTCTAATATATTCAATCAATTTCTGACCACAGTAATTATATCTTCATTCATTAAAACAACTAAAATCAAAATTGGTCTCTGTTTCAATAAGTGTAATAACTATTATTAAGGACTCCTCAACAACTTCACTGTAATAAAATGTTCATAAAAATCCATTTTTCCAAATGTACATACTCTTTACTTTTACAAAAGTTTTCTATTTTTTTTTATTATAATAACCATATACTACCCAAAATTAAACTTTTCTCCCTACTTTAACTTAACTTTTTGCAACATAAATAAAAAACTTTCCACTACTACCTCTATACTATTTATATAAATTTTCTCCTGTCCCTACTACACTGCCCTTGTACAAAGAAATTAACACAAATGATGCTGCCAACTCAGCTACTATTGTCCTGACATATATACTTATAGAAAACACTAAAATCACCTATGCATACATACACAAGAGTTTACTTTTCCATCCTGTTTTCTACAATTGTTTTAACATGATTAATTTCTCTTTTACCACTGCATCAATTTCCAATTATAATTACCAATGAACAATAATTCCTAGGAAATAACCCTTTAAAAATTCAAATCATACAGTTTATTTTAGTTGATCTTTTTCTTTTTTATTTTCTATTTCACATATGATAGTAACAATTTTAAATGGGGAATGTGAAGGGTTTACTTTTAACTTAAAACATTTAGATCCTTCTTAAACATAGAATCTAGAAATGTGAGGTACATCTCATGTGACAGACAACAATGCACATTACTAATTATTATGTGTGAATGTTAAATAATAACAAAATTCAGGTATGGTATATATACCATTCCTGAATTTTGTTATTTAAAGAAATGTGTCTATTGAGTGACATTATAACTCCATCATGGTTTGTGATATCTCTAAACTGGATCTCTACAAAGCATTTGGACTTGATGGTATCCCTGCAATAGATTTCCTGAACTGGCCTCAGTTCTCTCTAAACATTACAATAAATGAATTGCTGTTTCTTGCTTTCCTTCTTGTTGGAAATCTGTAGTTCCAGTCTTTATGAACTCAGGCAATCCATCTGTTCTTACTACCTATTGGCCTATCAGCATTCTACCATTTTTTGGCAAAATACTAGAGACTGTAACCAACTCTGAATTGGTTAAGCATTGCAAGGCCTTCTTTCAGACAAGCAATATGGCTTTTTCTTCCCTAGGTCAACTCCTGATATGTTAGTTATTGCTGAAAGAATCTATCAAGCTTTAGATAAGAATGGTGAAGCTTTAGCTGCTGCTTTGGATTTCTTAAAAGTGTTCAATATGGTTTTGGCATGCTGTTTTTCTTCACAAGTTGAAAGGTTATGGTATTTCTTGACAAACTTTTGATGTCATTAGTTCTTGGTATTTATACTGATGATAACTATTTTCTCTTGTCTTAATGGTAAATTTGATTGGTTTAATAAGGTCAAATTGGCACCTGGTCTCTTAAAAATTACCTACAAACTGTTGTTAACTGGAGCAGGAAATAGCTTGTTAATTTTAATACCTCCAAAACTATTCTTTTTTTAATAATTTCAGAGAACCTTTTTGCCTTCTAGCAGCATGCCTGATGTGAATCTCCAGAAGAATGACTCATTGTAACTTCTAGGGATAACCTTTTCTACTGACATGAAGTGGAAAAATTATATTGAATTAATTGCTAGGTTGCTGCTAGGAAAGTTGGTTCATTGCATTGTTCTAAACAATTTTTCTTGCTAAATTTTTTTTTTTTTTTTTTTTAATTACACATTTATACATCTATAATTCATCCATGCACTGAATATTGCTACCACAGCTAGTCTCTAGCTTCTGCTAAATATTTAAAAATTCTTGATAAAATACAAAAAATAAAGTGCATGTTATTTGTCCTGACCTGTCATCTCAGCTATAGTCGCTTTCCCACTACCATAATGTAGCTTCCCTGTACCTTTTCTATATATATTTTCATGGTAATTGTTTTAATGAGCTTTTCTCTTTGGTACCTAGACTTTAATACTAGATTGGTGGCAATGTCTCATCATTTTGCAGTTGAAATGACTAGATGCAACCGTAAGTTCTATGCTAACAGTTTTTTCTTTTGCACTTATCGCTTGTGGAACTCTCTTCTGGCTTCTTACTTTCCAGTCAGGTTTGAACTTCAAAACTTAAGATAATATCAATCATTATCTTCTGTCTTATAATTCTTGTATTTTATTGTTCTATCTCTTTAATAATGTTGTCTTTTTCTCTTATTCTTTCATACTCAATAATACCTTGCATCTTAGTGGCTTTATTGAATTTTTGAAGTCAAATGATTAAAAAAAATCTTTGTAGCAGCTTGTATGATCAACATGACTTTCAGTCTTGTAGCTATATATTTGTAGTCGTTGTTCTATGAGCAAAAAAAAAAAATTCCTTCCAATTGGAAGAGTTTTCTTTCCTATATGGAACCATAATTGAATTAAATATCTGTACATTGGGTACAATAGTTTTATAAGAACCATTTTTAGCATTTAACATGTATATCTAAACCCTCTCTTCTAAATAAATAAAATAATAATTTTAAAATATAGTTACTATATTGAAAGAAATAATCTTTTTAATCATAGATTTTTTAGGATGGCAACATATTTAGATTTTGGGGCAGCAGATTCTGATTGTGTAATGTTACACTAAAAATATTAAAAATACCGTTATCTTTGGTTTTTAGAAGAAAGTATTATTAGAAAAACATTTTATTAAAAAGAAAAAAGTGATAAATAAAACAAATTTAGTTGAAAATGATAGACAACTGAAATTTTAACTTATTTTTTTAACAAACATTTTTTTTTGTTTATTTTTGCAGAGTTAACTGGCCTATTCAGGAATGATCAATAGGCCTAATATATACAAGACACTCCAAAAATGTTTGAGCATTTTGACTATAAAAAATATTTTTAAAAGTAACATTACATCTAGTTTCTACCATTTTCCTTCAAGGAAAATGGTAGAAATTAGGTACATATATAGTGATGCTAGAGGTTTTTACAAGATTCCATGCAAAAGTTCATATACTATATTCAGTTTGCCTTCACTATTTAAATTCACTGAATTTTTGAGTAATGTAAACTTTCTGTTCGGTTAGTATGCTCATATTGGCTGTTATATTAATGTTTCAGCCATTGTATTCTTCAGCCCTCTTCAGGTGTTTATTGTTTTGTCAACATTGTTGGAATTTTGAAGCAAACACTTTATTGAATACAAGGTAGTTAAACTGTTCTCATTATGCTTTCCATATTTAAGGGATATCTTGTATCAGTTAATTCTATCTAGACTAGTCCAAATAGAAAGCATATAATAATGTGGTTAGATGATTTTAATTTTTTGAGGTAAATTATGCATTTTATATATTTATTGCATTCAAGTGGATATATGTATCAGTGCAAAATGCTTTTTATGGTTGCTTCATCACATTTATTCATTCAAAGACTAGTTATTAGTCAGAATGGTGTATGACGAGAAAAATGAAAACAAAGCACACATTTTAATTTAATGTAGTTTGCCATTTAGCAGTAGAAACCCTCACCCACCAAAAAACCTTAGTTCATCACCTCTGGCATTGGACTATGTGGGTAACTCCACGTGCAGTAATTCTGAAGAATGAGGAGTTCAACTAAAAGATGCTAACTACAGCGAGTTTCAATCAGCTGCAGGTTAAATCTGCATAGAAGATTAAACTATTGGTAGTGCATCCAAGGTGATGATGATAAGGCATTATTGGGCAGAGGGGATTTCTAGACTAAAGTTAACAGCCAGGGTGAATGGTTCTCCTGATAGAATCAATGGCCACATGTCCATGACAAAGGTTGACTTCAACAGCGGATTTTTTTTTTTTTTTAAATTAAGGTACAGTTAAACTGAGGGAAACAATTTATTTTTAAAAAGTGCTGAGTTCCTGCTTCGAAATATAATTACAACAATCAGTTTTTATGTTGTCAAAATTAACATTTAATTGGCTAGCTTGAGAATAGAAAAATAAATTTTAAGTCACATAAGAAATGATAATATATATAAAAAAATATTTTCAATAAAAGAGAAAACAGCAAAGGTAATAAAAGAATGAAGAAAATGAAAATATGAAAAGGAATAAATAATCAACTCACTTAGGTGAAGGCATTGCAGAATGTGTTGGGCTAAATTCTTGTGTGCGGCTACCAGCAGTTTCTTTATGGGTTGTAGCATCACTACTTGTGATATATGTAATACTGCAGAAGAAAAATATACCTTGTTATCTTTATATATAATATCATTAAACTTTGGCTAGAGTGAGAAAGATTAAAGAAAATATTTTTGTAAGTAATTTATTAAACAAGAATAAATTTTGTAAATCTATATTGTTTTTATTTATTTTGAATTCAATTTGTGTTTTAATCTTCAATTTTTCAATTCTATTTTGAACTGGAGAAAAATGTTAATATTTTAAGATCAATGAATATGTCAAAAATAAAAATCTGCATAAATTTTCCAAGAATTTAAATTAAATTTTCTAGAACAATTTTTTAATTCATTGGAACTTTTGATTCTAGAAAATTTAGGTCTGATGACAGTGCATTATCCTATTGGAATAACCCATTATTGTTAGAATAATTTATAGGATTTATTGTCCATAAACAGGTGTAAATGCTCACAAAGTAGTGCAACATAGTGATTACTGATCAATGAAGTGTTTAAGCAAACTCAATCGATGCCACAAGAACACACCCCATGCTATTATGTATGGTGCCCTGTTGACAACCATGGTCCATAGCTTTACAAGGTCTGAACAATACCCAAACATTACTGTCAGCCCAAAATAACTGGAACCATGACTCATTCTCTGTACACACAACATTGTAGATCAAGAGATATCAAATGTCTCATCTGTCCAGCATCCACAATCATGCTCTGTTCAAACTCTGATAATTAATATCACCTTACGATAATCAGCCTAGCCAGTATTTACAATGATTCACTAGATATCAACTATTATCTGAGTATTTCCATGAAATCAAGGCATCAACTACCATTACCATTACATACGGCTAACCTATGACTTTTGGCACATCAGTGCATTGTAATTGCACATATAATAATAAAAGAAATTTCCAGTTGGAGCAGTAGCATCTTAATTTATAGCTATTGTCAGGAATTAAGGAGTTTTTATTTCTATGACTAGAATGATTTAAAATGTAATTTCTACTGTTAATTAAAAATACCTTAAAAGAAACTTTAGAATAAGAATTCAAATAAGAACTTAAGAGTACTTTAAAAGAAACTTTAAAAATACTTTAAAAAAAAACTTTAAAATATACTTTAGCTTAAGTGGAAAAAAATTACATTATTCAATAATGCCATAAAATAAACTAAATAATTTATATTAAAATTTGTTAAATATGACAAATTTTCTACTAGAAAAGTTGTTTTTTTTTAATTCTAATGATTAAAGATGAATTTATTAAAAAAAAGTATCAAAATTAATCAAATTTTTGTATGTTGTCTTAAAGCTCAAAAGTTAAAACTACCCCCAACCATAACTTTTCACCAGAACTAAAGAAATACTGATTCTAAAGAACTTAGCAAGATAATTCATTTTCTAAAATATTGTGCAATCTTTAAAATAATGTAGCTTAATAGAGAAAAGGTTTTTAACACTGCATGATGCATTTTGTAATATATGGGAAAATTTGCCATCTATACAAGAACAAAATTGAATAAAAAGACAATTTTTTTTAATAACATTTTTAAGTTAAGCCACTTTTGTCATGGTTTATTTATAAAGATATTTTTAAAATTCATATTTATCAATTTCAAATATTTCTGTCTTAATATATTTGAATAACCCACTAGCTGTTGAAGGATCATTAAATACACAAACCAAACAAATTAATATATTTTCATAAAATAAACTTCACATCAATTAACAAATGTATCAGTCACTACTGTTTGAATTGCTTTTTAAGTGAACCTGACATCAATAATAGTATTAGAACAAAATTTTTCAGCAGTTTTTGAGTGTTAATTTACAAAAACATGCCAAGTTTGAAATTTATGCATATTTAAAGGAATATCATTAAAGTGTATTTATTTATTTATTTAAATTGCCTAATCATTACAAATTCCTATTTAAATATATTCTGAATTCAAAATTTTATAATTTTTTTCTAAATATTTCTACAACAGCAATTTGAAAAAGCTATTTTTTTAATATTATTTATAAAAACAAATAAAAATAGGAAAAAGACTTTACTTGATGTCAATTCCAAGTAATGAAGCCCGTCTTAGAATTGCACGTGACTGAGCATTTGTAATTCGTCGCATACTTTCATTGTTGATTGATACAATGTAATCTCCAACAGCAATGCGGCCATCTCTCCCAATAGCACCATTTGGTGATATAGATTTAACAACACAGCCATTTACACCTTTGTCAATAGCATCTACAGTGATTCCTGGAATATGATAGAATTAAAAATACCATCAAGACATTAAAAAGTATTATTATATAAAAAGCAAAATTAAAGAACAATGAGATTTTAAAAACAAATTCAGGTGGAAAGAATTTCATTTGGATTAATTATCAACAATCTACTATAGTTACATTTTAATGATGAATAAAGCCGTAGGCATATATTTTAGTCCATCCCATAACATTATCAAAGATTTATAATAGGAGAGAATATCAAAATCATTTAACAGATTAATGATTAATCACATCCTAAATTAAGCCAAACAAAAAAAAAAAAAAAACATAACTAAAAAGTCTTCATCAAATTAATGAACTTTATGTTTTATACACAAAATAAATACATAATATTTTTTTTTTACATTCTTTTGTCCCAGATTTACAAATTTCTAGATGAACATCTATATGAATAATGTTAAAATTAAGCACTTTTTTGCACCAACAAAATTTCCATGAGAAGATACAGGTAATGATATGCTTTTTCTAACATCAAAAATAGACAGAAAAATGAATTATTTCATGTATCTGCTTAAATAAGAAAGGACAAATGAAAATATAACGAATAAGATAAGTACAAATTAAAAATTTATTTAGGTAAATTTTCTGACAAACACTTGTAATATTTAAAACAAAGATGTGATTGTTTCTATCTGCTTAAGAAATTGTTTAAAATTACGTAAAAATAAACATTTTAATAAATCTCAATTGATCTAAAAACAAACCGAGTTGCTCTTGTCCTTTTCTGATTTTGATAGTCTTTTCTAAAGTAGATGGTAATGATTCAGTTGAGCCACCAAGAGAGTGAATTGGACTTGGAGAAAGTAGAGGTGACATCCTTGGAGACATTGTGCGTGGAGTTGATGATGGAGATGAAAAAGCTTTAAGGTCACTTGGGGTAAAATGCTCAGATGAAGAGGAGCTTTCTACACTTTCAGATTTTTTACAAATTATGTGAGTCTTTAAATTCACCTGAAAGCAAAGCAAAACAATCAATATCAGCTTATAAAAAAAGGTATATTAATATATAAAACACATTGTTTTTTAAAGTATTTATGTAAATGAAATTTATAAACAAAAAATAAAGACAAGATTTCAACATTATTCATGTGGTATTATATTAAAAAGTAAAACAGATTCAGTCATACCAAACAATGTAAATTACTTAATGTCTTTATGGATAGAAGAAAAAAACTATTCTAGCATTTATTTGATTGAATGAAACTCATTGAAAACTATAATAGCCAATGTTAGTTTTGCAAATCATTACTACTGTTTTGAGATTAATTCCACACTTGTAACCTGAATAATATTAATACCAATAATCAAGCATTTTTCACAAGGGTACACAATTTTATTTATAGTAAATTCAACTGACCAATATGGGAGTGTACTGCAAAATTTATAGTGTATTCTAACTGTAAGCACATGTTCTCTACATCATTCTATAGAAATACAAAGTAGCATCAAATTCCCAATGTTGTTGAAAAACTGGAACAAATATAAATTTTATTTAAAAAATGTGTATTCCTAATTTTCATAAGCCTTTAATAAAATATTTGCCAACTTTGAAAGAAATAAACTGCAAAACCAATTCAAAGAAAGCTTGATTTTGTGGCCAGACAGTATATAATTTGACAGAAAATATTTCCTTCATTATAACGAAGATGAGCATGCTGACTTCATTATACTGATCAAACCAACATCTTAGTTGCTATACTGACAATGTTTTGACTGTTGTATTTTCCAATCTTCTTCAGGTGTCTGTTTTCATATTCAATAATGAGAAAAATCTACCCACATGGATTGAATAGAGGGTTTGGTTCAAAATTCCAAGAAGGTTACAGAGTACAACAGCACCCAGTATAGTCCTGGTAAAATTAATTATATAATTATTACTCAAAGCAAGCCAGAGGGTACATTAGCTAAAATGCTGGGTGTAATTGTTTAACTATATTTATATTACATTAATGTAAGTGTATTGAAACCAATAACTTCTAACTAGTAATGGACTGGACTCCCTCTTATATAAGTCAGCTCTGGAGAGAGAGAGGAGCGTCAGAGAGAGAGAGTCAGCGTGAGCAGTCCAGATAAGCTTACCCGGTACATACCGTTGGACTATAGACTTTGGATATTGTTCGTACTAACCAACCTTCGTTCTATTAATCACTCTATTGTTAATTGCGTTTATGAATATACCAGTATTTTCCTCTACAACTGTGTTTGTCTTAATTCATACACCGACACGCTGAAACTCACAACATCTCAACAGTGGCGACTTGGCTTCGAACAGAAATAATAACCGATTTCCAACACGGAAAAATTTTAAAAGAGTTCAAGCATTTACAGCAAAGGATTACAAGTTATCGACAAAAAGAAAAAAACTGTAAGTTAGACATTAACTTATTGATTAAATTGGAAGCTATAATAACCAATTTTTGTGCTAAAAAAAAAAAAAAAAATTGTCGTGCAGAAAATTTGAATTTTTGGCCCCCTCAGAGAAAAAAAAAAAAAAACACATAATTTTTCTTTTTTCTCTACACATACATAATCATGGAGCAATTTCAATCAACTATGCTGGAACTCATTAAGTATCAGATGCAAAGACAGCAAGAGAGTGAAGAACGTTTTCAGAAAGAGCAACTTAAAATTCAAGAAGAACAACTTAAATTTCAGAAAGAGCAAAAGGAAGAAAACGCAAAACGATTTCTGGAACTACACAAAATACAAGAAGAAAATGAAAAGAAACAGTTAGCAATGGCCGAACTTATACATAAAGCTATACTGTCCAAGCTGAAAGACTCGGATGAAAATATTTTTTTTCCCCAAGACACAATATGGTCAACGATCGAAAGTTTTACTTATAACCCAGAAGAGGAAAAGACTTTCAAAGATACTACCATAGATATCAGGATTTTTATGAAGTTGATTGCCAAACATGGACAGATGAAAAAAAAAATAAGATTATTGCTACGAAAAACTGGGAACGGCAGAACACAACAAGTTTACAGATTTTATATTACCCAAAAAGACAAGAGATTTAAAATTCGATGAAGCAATTGAATTATTAAAAGAGCTTTTTAATCCCAGATTTTCATTATTTCACAAAAGGTGGAAATGCCTGAATATCCAAAAAAGCGAGGAGGAAGATTACACAACGTTCAAGCGTCAATCGTAAATAAGACGTGTGACGATTTTCGCTTGTCCGAATTATCGGCAGACAATTTCAAGTGTCTAATATTCGTGCTAGGCTTAGTGTCTAAAAAGATAGTGAAATGCGAAGACGCATTTTAACAAAACTAGAAAATGACCAAAACATGACACTACAAAAGCTAGCTGAGTACTGTCAGCAATGCGTAAGCATTAAAGCAAGATTCAGAAAAAATAGAAGAAACTGCTATCGCAAATGTGAAGAAAGTATATAGGAAGACTAGTTTCAGTTCTCCATCGCCTGAACGGAAGTGGTATCCTACTACAAGAACGAACAGAGGCTATAGAAAAAAAAAACCCCTCCGAGTGCATGTTATGGATGTGGCCAGTGGCACTGGTACAATGACTGCCCATATAAAAATAAAGCGTGCAGAAATTGCAAAAAGTAGGACATAAGATGTCAAAGTGTAGAAAATTAAACAGAAGTCGAGTAAAAGTTACCAAGTCAGACGAAGATCAAGACCTGAATATTCGAAAATACCTTCATGTAAAAATGTACAACAAGAAGGTAAAAATGCAACTAGATTCAGGATCTGACATTTCAATCATTAACACGCAAACATGGAAAAATCTAGGAAAACCAACGTTGCTAAAATCCAACAAAATAGCCAGGACGGTAACTGGAAAAAAAGATAAAATTTGAAGGGAAATATGGGTAAATATAACTTTCAACAATAAGTCGATAAAAATGAAAATGTTTGTAATGAAAGACACAAACAACCTGTTTGGGACTGACGCAATCACTAAGTTCAACCTATGGGACGTGCCCATTAGTTCTTTTTTTGCCACAACATTAGTGAAAGCAAAGACCATATAAAAAATCTACAAGCAGAATTGAAAACGGAATTCCCGAAGTTTTTGCTGAAGGACTTGGACGTTGCACTGAAGCATCAGCAAAAATACAGCTGAAGAAAAATATCCAACCAATTTTTTAAAAAAAGCGAAGCATCCCTTTTGCCGCATTAGAGAAAATTGATCAAGAACTCGAAAGACTAACGAGAATTGGTGTGATCTCGAAAACAGAATACAGTGACTGGGCAGCTCCGGCTGTCTACGTAAAGAAGAAGTCGGGCGAAATTCGCGTCTGCGCCGATTTTTCAACCGGGTTAAACGACGCAATAGAAGAGTTTCACTACCCACTACCAAGTCCCAAGAAGTGTTCGCAAAGTTAAATGGCGGAAAAATCTTTTTTCGAAAATAAATCTTAGCGAGGCATACTTGCAAGTACCCATGGATAACGAAAGTGCAAAGTTACTATGTATTAACACACATAAAGGCTTGTTTAGATACGAACGGTTACCGTTCGGGTGAAGACAGCACCCGCAATATTCCAGAAAATTATGGATACGATGTTATCCGGGTTAGACTACACAATAGCATATCTCTCGACGATATTCTTGTAAAAAGTGAATCGGTGGATGAACACAAACACCATTTACGCAAAGTTTTCGAAAGGTTAAGAAGATATGGATTTCGAGTGAAAGAAAACAAATGCGATTTTCTCCTGGAAGAGATCAAGTATCTGGGACATATAGTGAATAAAGAAGGGAAAAAGCCAGATAAAAGTCGAGCTTCAGCAATAAAAAATATGCCTGAGCCAAAGGATATTAAATCCCTACAAAGTTTTTTAGGCTTGGTGTCATATTACCAGGACTTTATCCCAGACCTCCACATTCTACGAGCTCCCCTTAACGATCTACTAAAAAAAGAAAAACCTTGGATTTGGACAAAAGAATGCGAGCAAGCATTCAAGGATTTAAAAGAAAAATTAACTTCAGATCTATTTCTTGTACATTTTGATCCAAAGGTAGATATCATCGTGGCGAGCGATGCCAGTACACACGGCGTGGGTGCATGCATATTGCACAAGTGGAAGAATGGAAAAAGTTCGACCGATCGCTCATGCAAGCAGATCGCTACTACCTGCTGAACGAAACTATTCACAAATTGAGAAAAGAGGCATTGGCGATTATCTTCACTGTAACAAAATTCCATCGATACATACATGGACGTTTTTTCACGCTACAGACAGACCACAAGCCTCTGGTAACGATATTCGGCTCAAAAAAGGGTCTGCCAACTTACACCGCAAATAGATTGCTTAGGTGGGGGACAATTTTATTAAATTATAATTTCAGAATACAATATTTGTCCACCCACAAAATTGGTCACGCAGATGGGCTATCAAGACTCATCCCAAAAACAACAGAACCTTTAGAGGATACTGTAATCGCTTCCCTCAGAGCAGAGGATGAGGTTGAAGAAAATTTGGCAAACGCAATAATCGAGAATTACCAGTATCGCTTAAGGACATCAAAAAAGAAGCAGAAAAAGACAAATATATAATAGAAGTAAAAAATAAGCTAGCCAGTAAAGATGAAAAAATTCAAAAGACATTCTCTCTGTGCGATAATGTGCTATTATACAGTGAAAGGGTGGTAATCCCTAACACACTTCAAAAAAGAATACTGAAAGACTTTCATGCTGGTCACCCAGGCATAAATAGGATGAAGAGCCTCATGAGAGCATACGTCTACTGGCCAGGTATGGACAACGACATCGCGTCTATGGTCGGCAGATGTAAAGGCTGCATTTTGGCATCAAAATCACCACAAATTTTACAGAAG